CTTGAGGATCCCAGCCCATCATCCCCACAGGTAGCCCCACAGAGTAAGTGTGACTTGCTGAGGAAAGGCCTACCAGGCCTACCTTTTGTTCTAGAAGAGGCTCTTTAAAAAGAACTCCCCCTTGCCCCATCATCATAACTAATGACCTGACCTGTACAGTCTCTTTAATACTGTTTCCAGGAGAACTTATATCCACAAGTGTGTTCACTTTTCTGTGCTGGCACATGAGGTATTTCCATCCTGGAAACCTCCTTTCCTCCATCTCTCCATCCACCTGTAACAAAGCTCTTAACAGTTTACCTTTAGGCTGAAAAACAGACCTGAGACCATGCTTTGCATCCCCTCTCATGTGGGTGTATGAAGGATCAACTGGATTTACACAACTCTCAAGCCATCACTGTAGCTCTCCTCTCCAGCGAGTTGAATCCTCTTCCTTTGGAAGATATAGTGTTGAGGACATTTCTTTTCCCAAAAAAGACATTACCTTTAACTCACTCTTCTTGTGTCTCACCTGCATATGTACAACAAGCTGCCAGGTTGGTTGTGACTATTTCTTGAGCCCAGTAGTGGTAGAAGTGGAGCACAGACTCCTATGCAGATAGCAGTAGTACGCTCTTTTCTTCTCAGGGAACAGATATGAGAAGGGGTCAAACACAAAATCAGAAAGTTGAAAAGCTCCTTGAGGGCCATTTTGTCCTCTCCAGATTCAGAAGGTGCTGGTCCTAAACCACCCCCTATAGCTGCCTCTCCAGCCTCTTCCTGAAAACCTCCAGTGAGGGAGATCCCACAACTTCCCACACAGGGAGAAGTTCACCAGTAATAAGGAGCTGAAATGTCTCTGGGCTTGTGAACAAACAGCATTGTTGTAACTGCTTAAATAACACTAGCACTAGCAATAAATACTCACTCTCTGTGTGCCCAGCGTACCATGGCCTTTATTGTCCTCCCTTGGAGCACTTCCAGGAGCAACCTAAACAGTGCTAGTTACTCTGTCATATTGTGTACCCATTGCACCAAATCACTGACTGTGTCCCAACTCTAGCTTGGTTCCCTGGTTTTACACCCGATCCTAAGAGTAGCCTGTGACCCATTGCCTTCTCTTGGCCAAAGGATTTCCTGGGTGAGCTGGCCCTGTCCTCTTAAGCAAGAGTTTCATTTTGCAATCTGAAGCTAGATTGCTCATACGCTCTTAGCCAGGGGTCCCTTTAAATGTCAGCTTTATTTTTTTAAGACCCACTTCAAAGTGGATTAAAACCAATTGTAATAACAATTAACTTTGCAAACAGCACCCAAATATGGCTGTTACATGCAGTATAATTCAAGATAATTGTGCGCTTTGTTATTAAGCAGAATTTATTTTATGGCTGTTTGTGTTGGGAGGTGATGGCACACCTCTAACTCCTGAGCAACACACAAGGCTCCACGGAAGTGGAAAACATGAGCTTAAATTGTTTTGGGGAGTGATAAAACAAGTTCCTATGGTCAGACAGATACACTCTGGTGGGACATTCACCCAGCCTGGCCTGAAATCCTGGGCTTACAGAAAATCAGCTTTTCCCCAGCTGGAATGTCACTGCTTTCTGCATGGACCCAGAACTGCTCTTCTACGTATCATCTACCTTGTATTACAAAGACTGCATGAGTGCGGTCCTTCTGCTTTTTGGTAGGGGCTGTACTTTTGAGGGAGGGAATCTGTTACCAAATTTCCAAATGTCCACAATATGCCATGACAATGTAAAAATACAGGATAGCCAAACACAGCTTTACAGGACAACCCAGATCAGGGCAGAACTAGACTCCTCTCATTCTTAGTAAAGTCAGTAAAGTTACATGTGGGTTAGGGGTAAGCCAGTCTGTACTAGCTGAGGTCTGGCCCACATTGACTTAAAACCTGTATAAAAGTAGACTCCATCTCCTCCTTTTCTGATCTGACAGCATTTTACAGCCCCTTTGGACTGGAATAAATGACTCAACAAGCTGCAAAGGAGTGGAAAGTCAACCCCAGACAGTCACAATTTCCTTGTCCCTGCAAGCAATCAGAAGAAGATGGATTGAGGTGGAAGAAGTGAATTTGATTTTTCTATATTATCATTTTAGCTTCAGATATTCTGTTTCCCAAAACCCTGGGAGTTATTTAAGGTAACAGCCATTCCACTAACAGCAAAGCATAAAGAAAATAGACTTTGTTTTGACAAAGCTGCACAGAAGCCTGTGGTTAAGCAAAGAAGCAGTTTCAAAGAAGTCACTTATCTGAAACACAGGGGCTGGGAAGATGCAAGGGAAGGGGGAGCCGGTTTGAATATGCTGGAAGCAAAGTGGGGGATAAAAGAAAGGGAGAGGCAAAGTGAATTATGCATCCTAGACAGGGTAGAAATTCCCAGCACAGTCTTTTACAATGGAGACGCACGCAGTGAAGTTCTAATAACGTTCAGTGAGCAGTTGGAGGCAGAAGAGAGGAAAATGGAGCCTCAGCTCTGTCCTTAGACCTGGAATTTGCTTGGCTTTGAAGGCAGGAGTGAGGTGTGGTGGAGTTAACCTCAAATGCTGCAATGAGGGATTAGAGTCTCGCAGCCTTGGCAGGTGATTTATGGCCAGCTGAAGTGAGCAGAGATGAAGATTGCACAGGCTCTTGCCATCTGTGTTCTGCCCAGGAGGAAAAGGCCTGCTTGTTTGCAGTTTCTGGGGTTATTTTTAACCTAGGGGAATTGCAGACCAGACTCCCTAATGGAGGGAGTGGACACACTCTTTTGAACTAGTATTCTGGTTACATAATCCCATGGGCACTATAGTTTGTCCCCTTGCTGGCCAGCTGCATGGAGGCTAAATTAGTTCCCCAAGCAGAGCAAATAGTTTGAGGGAGAAATAATTGTACAGTGACCATACTGAACTGACTTTGCCAATTGTAATTACGCCATTGTCCCTTGCTGGAGAGAGCTGGCACTCTTCTACTGTGTCATATGCTGTGTACTGTTGACAGCTCTTGCAGTAAGAGGTCTGGGTTCTGCACCCATCCTTGCCATGAAGTTCCAAGTGGCTGTGCTATGCAGCTGCATTCAGTAACATTGGGACATTTAAGACAGCCATATCCCAATGCCTTGCTCCACACAGGACACCCCCAAGCATTTTCAAAGCAGGGACTGTGAAAAGGAGATGCCTCCTGTACCCTTTTTTATGTGGTTCATGCCCTGCCATGGCTGGAGAGAAAAATGTTGTTGAAGAGAAAAATGCTGAAAAACAAAGCACCTCGAATGGGTCTATCTAAGCCTCTGGGCAGCCACCATTTGGCTGCCAAGTGACAGCACCAGCATGGAAATCCATGCAGATTTTCACTGAGATGGAGAATCTTGTGGCCACCGCAGAGGAGACCACAGCAAAAGAGTTCTTGCTCCAACTGGGTACAGGGTGCAAGGTGGTGAATAAAAATACCCCACTGTGCAATGCACAGCATGTGCCCCTGTGGTCCCAGAGCAAACCGAACAATCAAACAAGGTTAACAGTTCAAACACAGCCAAATCCGTGTCTCACCATTTTTGGGAGTGTTGAATAGCTAAATGGGGCTGAGGTCAGCAAGGGTTTGTTTGTTTTTTCCCAAGTGTCTAGGTGATTTGCTTAATAAGCTTGGTGGGTAAGTTCTGTATGGGGGATAGGAAAATCCATTTGGGGCTTAGGAGTTATTACAAAATAAGAGGACAGTGTTAATGCAGCTACTCAACTTCAGGCTACATCCTGTCCCTGCAGGCTTGAATCAGATCAAGACTGGGCCCTTGCAGATAGGATGATCACAAAAGATGTGATTTCCCCTGGGAGCTCAGAGAGGCGGGGGGGGGGGGGGG